AATTTGCAGTTACTGGTTAATAGTTGGTAATCGTTTCTGTAGGATGTACAGTCAAAGGTCAGTGATGTTGTTCTGGGAAAAGAAAAGCCAGTGGAAGAATCTACTCCTGAATATGAGAAGCTTAAACATTATATATTTGAGCTAGAAAATCATCTAGCAGAGGCCCAGAAACAAGCATTTCGCCTTGTAAAAAGGCACAGAGGTAATACCTTGATCCTAAAAGAAGTTTCTTGAGTTCAGCCCCAATGTAAAATAGCAGTAAAATGTCGTGTTTGTTAAAATTTTGGTCTTCCAAAAAGATAGAAATAGATGACCTGGTGCATGGTATTCTAACGAGCACAAGGCTGCGGTTCGGAGGCCATTAACGATATCTCAACTTGCTCTTGGTTATGTAGTGTTAAACTGGATTGCAAGACCAATTACACCATTCTGATTTTCTTTCATTAGAACTTGGGCAATCTTTGGCGGACTTTGGGAAAGCGATTAAGCTTTTAGGCGCCTGTGAAGGGGATTCGTTGGAGAAGGTGTTTTCTGAAGTTGGTTCGAAGTCAGAAATGTTGTCAATAAAGCTGCAAAGAGAGGTAATTAGTAACCTGTTATCATAGTACCACTTTTCATTTTAAATAGCATATGACCATTCATTTAGTAGTTAGTACTTCTATTACCTAATGCTGTTGATATGCTGTTACTACAGGCAGACAACCTTCTCTTTAACTTTGAAGAGCCTTTGAAAGATTATGTGCGTGCTGTGCAGTCAATAAAGGTGAGTTTCTTTCTCTTCCATCTATTAACTGCAAATAGAGAATTTCTTATAATGTTTAGGAAATATCAAAGCAAATTGAGGTCATGACTAATTTTCTCATGGTCATGGCAGGCCACTATGCTTGATCGAGCCAATGCTTTCAGGCAGCACTTTGACTTGGACCAGGAGAGGAAGTATAAAGAGCTTAACCTGTATGTATTGCATATTGCAAGTTCCATATTTCGTGCTTAGTGACATGGCGTAATAATTTAGGGAAAATGTCCTAAGGGAGTTTTTCACCTTTCAGGATAATAACTGATCAAAACTGGGCCTACCAATTTAAAAATTCCATAGTTAAATAATGAAATCTCTAATCTCTTGGCACAACACAAGGTGTAAGGTCCTTGTAGTGTCGATCCTATTCTTACTGCAGTGAAAAAAATGAAGTTCATGAACCCTGAGAAGTTTATTCTGTACTATTACCTGGAAAATTTCTCATCCTATTCTTACTGCAGTGAAAAAATGAAGTTCATGAACCCTGAGAAGTTTACCGAGTCAGAAACTGAGTTCAGCGAGGTAAGTATTAATTTTAAGGATCTATATGTCGAGCGAGCATAAATTGTGAATGAATAATTTGTTTGACTGGTGTTTTGTTGTGAATAAATGCAGTTGAAAGCAGCCAGTGAGGAGGCTACGAAGAGGTACGAGCACATAGTTAGTGTAATGAACGAGGAGCTTGCACGATTCCAGGAGCAGAAAACAGCTGATATTGGACTTGCATTCCATGAGTTTGCCAAAGGTCAAGCAAAGTTGGCTAAAGATATTGCTGATGCGTGGCGCAGCGTCCTCCCAAAGCTAGAGGCGTGTTCCAGTTCATAATCGAAACTGTGTTTGCCCATTGTGTTTGAGATAGTGGTTGGCGCTTTGAGTTCTAGGTTGATTTTTTCCAGCCTAATTTGACAGTGGTTCATGTATACTTAAAGGTGATGGTTGACAATGCTGAAGTTGTTATACTGACATCTTTTCCTTACCGTGTGGGTGTGTACTCTGTAACTCAAATTTTCGACCAATTAGTCTAACTGTTGAAGTCCTTCAGGAAGTATTATGAATAAAGAGAAGACAGTGGAGTTGTTTAGCTTTACTTCCTCTAATGGAATTTATATCTTTATCTTGGAAGAGAACATGAAAGGAGACCTTGAAGAATACTTAGGGATTACAAGTTGTATCAACAGAGAATGATAATCCTGCTGCATCATGTTCCTTAATCACTGTCAAACTTGCACAATTTAGCAGACTTGTCAAGTTTGCACAATCTGAACAGGCTTGTCAAACTCGCGCAATCTGAATGGACTTCTGAAGCGCCATGAGGAGGCTCCTCATGATCCTGGGCTCCCCAGGCGGCTCCATGTCCTTCATAGCACCGTTCCTGATGGCTCGGAACACAAACCCAGAGCCGTCTGTCGCCGGAGACACCAGGCAGTCGATGTAGGCCAGCAGCGAGGTCGCGCCGTCGTCGATCCCGATGAACCCTAGCCTGATCCCACCCTCCACCTTGTCCACCTGTTTGCACATGAAAAATTGTATCAACTGAAGGTATCTGAAGTATCAACCATATCGTCAGCTCTCGGGTCGCCATACCTTGATAGGCACTGGCAGTGGCAACATGGCGCCTTGGCAGAGACTGTTCCCCCACTGCCAAACAGGTTCGAAATAAACATCAGTTCTACCAAGCAGTTCAACTGAAGGTCCAAGCTGAGACTGAGAGATAAGACCAGGCATATCATACTCCAACACGGCTCAAGGAATGCTTACTACTGACCTGAAAGAGCAACCCCTCGAACCGAGCGACGTCGATGTTGGCCGGCAGCTTCACGGTGCCGAGGCTGACCCCGTCGTCGTCGGCCGGCACAATGCCGCCCTTCCCCGGCACGGCGCACGGCGGCTTCACGGTCACCCTTGCCCTGAAACTGGGGAGCTTCGCGGCCTTGTTCCAGCCTCCGGCTTGGAAGCAACTGGAAGTGTGCTTCGGAAGCGTCCCTGAGGAGCAGGAGGATGTGATCCTGTGGACCAACAGCTGCCTTGCAGTCGCAGCTGCCATGTTCTTTCCTTTCTGGGGAGGGACGGAGGCAGGATGGAGATTCAGGCTTGAGAGAGCACAATATCAGGGCCGGTTAATGAGTGCTGCCGATTAACCTGCGGGGATGAGAAATGAATGGACAAGCTGGTGCCGCCAAGACAATTTTTGGTTGGTCGGGGCCTCTTCTTGTCTCGTGGTTCAGTGTTGCAACTAGCGACCGCGTATTCTCTAAAATTTATTAAGACAGAATGAAAGTTTCATATTTATCATGCATGCTAATCTATGGTTGAATGGTTAGATGGGTAGTGGCATCCCCAGCCCATCAGGGTAGTCCTATTGCTTGCATTTATTTCATGATTTCCGGCGACGTGCGTTCAGCGCGAGGAAACGTTTCGGTTGACTACGAGGCACTTTTGATGACTTCGTGAATCTCAAGATGACATGCCGGATCAGTCTCTTGGAGAAGCTCATATGGGTAGGGTGTGTGTGTATTCATAGGGGTGAGTGTATGCGCATATATATGAGCGCATGAGCCTGTACTGTGTTTTAAAAAAAAGTATCATGCATGCCAACTAGGGATTTTTGTGAGGTGACACAACTAAACGAGGAGAGATGGGATTGAGTATCATGATATGATACCGTATCATATTAAATGATGTACCAATATGTGTTATACATAACAATAAATGATGTCAATATGATACCAAGCTATAATAGTATTAGGCATTGTGAAGATAAAGTGTATCATATGATGTCTGTATATGATACTTCTCATTGTGACCCGCGTTAGATATATGGGTGTCGTCATGATGTGTTCTTTTAGGGATCAAGAGTGTGTCTTTTTGGGCCGACCATTTTTCTCAATTTTGAAAAAGCATTCCCTGGCTTTTAGTTTCGTTGTCCAACAATTTTAATAGTTTTTTTGTTTTTCTATTTTATTTCCTGTTTGTTTTCTCCTTTGCTGTATTCATTTTATTTTTTCACAAGCTAATTCATGAATCTCTACCGGAGGTAAATGATGGCCCGTCATCTAACTAATAACAATTTTCACTTTGTGTTCATTAAATCACCATTAGAAAAATACTTGGCTCTTAAAACGGTAGCACATAAAAGTCGAGATTCTCAAGAAGACACGAGGCCTGCTTAGCCAACATCGCCAGTCCCAAAAATCCACCCTTCCTTAATTCATTGAGACACACATTTTTCACCAAGCCATCCAATGCATCCTTCTCAGGTTATCCTCGTCTCCCCAGTGACATCGCATCAATAACTCATTTACGATTTTTTAAGAATTTTAAATACAGACATTGCACAAGTGGGAACGGCTTGAACAAAAGACTTGAGAAAGATTTATTTTCCTCCAACGAATAACAATTTTGTTTCCAACCACTAGTTTTGTTTATGACATGATCATTTAAATACAGAAAAAATCCAATTTATCCATTCCTACATTGACAGGCAAGCCTAAATATTTATCATTTAGGATCCCAGTCATGATATTCAGAGTTACACACATCTGCTCACTCAACTCAGCACTTGTATTAGGACCGAAGAATACGTTGGATTTATCAACACCGACCAAATGCCTGAAGCGGCACAATAGGAATCCAAAATTGACTTCAACGACTCAACATTATGCATATTGGCCTTCACGAGGATCATGGGGGAGGAGCCATTAGACGTAACTATTCTCACAAACAATGTACTCGTTGTTTCCAATGAATAAAGTTGGTGATATTCTTTTAAAAGAATAAATACTAAATGGTACGTCATTCTCGCACTTGCCAAAATATTCGAGTTCCAAACAACTGAGTGCATTTACCAATTTTTTGTCTATATCATGAGTGAAATCTGTTTCAAACTTTAAGATTATAGAACTTGTCGCAAACGAATTCTCAATTTTACAATGTATCATTTATTAACACAAGTTCACGCCGCAACAGGGCACGCCAATGCATCAAGTGTGTTTTTTTCTTAAAATAAGATAACCCTGACCTTGTGCACATAACCATCTTTATTAAATTATTCAACAGAGCCTGACAAAATAAATATATAAATCAACCTAAAGTCATATTTCTAATAATGTATGTCAATACACCTACTAGCTTGATGATATGTCATGGTCACACACGAGCACACATCAACTAATCCGGTGGCCTCCTCAAGCTACCCCATGGCGAGTTGAGATTACCAACCGGTCTGGCAGACCATCAACGCGCCGTGCATGCACATGCTCCAGAATCCGTTGCCACCATCATCCGTCGTCCCAACTTACAACTTTAGGAGAGATCCACGCATTGACCTTGCCAGACACAGCTGTTGTCGACGCCACGACGACCAGACAACACAATCACCCTGCGGGCATCCATCGCCGAGACCCCGCTGCGCCACGCCGCCGAGACCCGCCGTCATCGACTTGGTAGATGCCACACCGCACCAACTCCTGATCCAGATCGCGGCCAATACTAACCTAACAGTGTCCACTATCTCCCAAGAGTGCGCCTTCAAGAAGAGAATGGCGTCAACGATGCGGTCGCCACACACCATAGTTAGGACTTTCACTCAAAGACAAATAATGTGATAGAGGTGGAAGGACGAACGTCTAAAAAAAAAACGGCACCCTCGGAAGTGTAAATGAACTGTTAATTAATCCTCTCCCTCTATTGCTTATGTACCTGCTACATTTTGTCCGTACTCCCGTTGGAATCCATCGTGAGCATGATTCCCTCCAATAATTCCGACCGGCAGTAAACAAATGAAGTACTCCAATACTATTATTTGTAGGAGACCAATGAAAAGATTAAGCTTGGATGCAGCTGATCTCATCAAAGATTTACTATACATAGTGGACCGAGTGTCCATCTGATCAGAAAAACAACCATTGGAGAGCTTGGATCAAGAGGATGGAAATGGAGGCTTCCGTCTTGGCAGCTCTGGCGGCAGTAGTCGTTGCTTCCATCTTCTTGGTATTGCCACACCTGAGAAAGCAGAGCCCATCTCAGGACGATCGGCGCCGCCAGCTGCCTCCGGGCTCCTTCGGCCTCCCCGTCGTCGGCCAGACGGTCGGCCTACTGCGCGCCCTCCGCGCCAACACCGCCGAGGCATGGCTCCGGCGCTGGGCCTCCGAGTACGGCACCGTCTCAAAGCTCTCCCTCTTCGGCCTCCCCACGGCCTTGCTCGTCGGCCCCGCCGCCAACAAGTTCCTCTTCGCCAGCACCGCGCTCACCGCCAAGACCACCACCTCCTTCAACAGCATGGTCGGCAGGCGCAACATCCGAGAGCTGGCCGGCGACGACCACCGCCGCGTAAGGGCCATGATGGTCCAGTTCCTCAAGCTGGACAGCGTCAGGAGCTACGTCGCCAGCATGGACGACGAGGTCCGGCACCACATCCGCGCCCACTGGGACGGCCGCGCAACCGTCGCGGTGATGCCATCGATGAAGTCGCTCACCTTCGACATCATGTGCACCGTCATCTTCGGGCTCGGGAGAGCCGAGCACGCCGCCGTGAGGCGGGAGCTCTCGGCGGAGTTCCAGCAGCTGGTGAGGGGCATCTGGGCGATCCCGGTGAACCTGCCTTTCACCTCCTACGGCAAGTGCCTCGCCGCGAGCCGGCGAGGCCGGCGAGCCGTCGCGGCAGTCATCGGCGAGAAGCGCGCCAAGCTGGAGAGCGGGCACAGCTCGCCGTTCGACGACCTCATGACCCACATGCTCGCCGAGGGGCTAGCCGACGAGGATATCATCGACAACGTCATGTTCATGATGGTAGCGGCGCACGACACCACGGCCACCCTCCTCACCTTCCTCCTCCGTCATCTCGACGGCAACAGGGAGGCCTACGGCAGGGTCGTGGCGGAGCAACAAGAGGTCGCGAGGAGCAAGGCTCCGGGGGAAGCTCTGTCATGGGACGACCTCGGCAAGATGAAGTACACATGGTCGGCGGCGATGGAGACCCTGCGCCTGGTGCCTCCGGTGTTCTCCCTGCTCAAGAGGGCGGTCGAGGACGCGGAGTTCGACGGCCACCTCATCCCCAAGGGCTGGCAGGTGCTGGGGGCGATGAACATGACGCAGTGGGACCCGGCCATCTTCCCGGAGCCCGGCAGGTTCGAGCCGGCGAGGTTCGAGAGCCCGGCACCGCCCTACAGCTTCGTGGCGTTCGGCGGCGGCGCGACCGTATGCCCGGGAAACGAGTTCGCTAGGGTGGAGGCGCTGGTGGCCATGCACTACATCGTCACCGGGTTCAGGTGGAAGCTCGCCGACGGCTGCGACGGCAGCTTCTCCCGGTATCCGCTGCCGTCCCCGGCTCAGGGCCTCCTCATCGACATCGAGCCAATGGACACAGCCACCACAGGTGCAGCAGGCATCACCAAATGATCTCGAAGAATCCCGTAGCAGATCTGAATGGTGCACCAACACCATTCAGCTCTATGATTTCCATGTTAAATGTACGATTACAGATACTAATTTGCAGTGAAGCGTAAATATTTCTCGCCGTTCTTGAAAGGAATTTCGGCAATTGTCATCAGTTTAATGTTCGAAATGCCCTCGGAATCGTACTGGAGTTGGAGCGTGGTTATTAGTATGTACGGCACAGATTTAGTTATGGTACTCAGCCTCCCGTCCGGGGAGACGGCAACCAAACACTCGGAGATGATCATATGTGGGGTGGAGCCCATGCAATTGGAAGTAAGGTGTGTTACCATGAATGGCTCGAGAGGGGCGTCGATTGAGAAGGTAGGTGGCCGTGTGAAGCGTTTCAACCCAAAACGGAGGGGTAAGCTTAGCTTGGAGAAGTAAAGTACGAACGTTGTCGTTGGTGGTACGGAGAAGACGCTCGGTCTTCTCGTTCTGGGGTGAAGTGTAGGGACAAGAGAAACGGTAAACGATGTCGTTGGTGGAGAAGAAGGAGCGTATGTCATGATTGATGAACTCTCCGCCGTTATCGCATTGTAGGGCCTTAATGACTACATTGTATTGGGTTTTAACATAGGAAAAGAAACGTTGAAGAATGGTGGATGTGTC